TTACGACATCTGGTATATTTACATTAATATTACATACATCAAAATTATTTTGAATGTTGCCTCATCAAGCATTTACTTACTGATTAGCTTCTCTTTGTTGGAATTATATAGGTTTTCTTATCAATTTTATGGATATTTAGGGTGGGTCCCATGCTTACTTTTAAGTGTCTTATTGAGGAATAGAATTCCCTGTTGGAAGGGAGAGGACTTGCTTCTCGCAGTGGACCAACCGCAAGGGATACAGAATTGTGTGTGATCTGAACCGTCAGATCGTATCTAATCTGAAATCAGCACAATTCAACGGTTCAAGTTGAACATGTGGAAATTCCATCATTCCAAATCAAATTTGATTTGTTTATTGATCTCTGAGTTCGTTGAATTATTTATTATTTCAATTTTCGCTCATACTTGTTGCTATGAATTTGTGAAGGACTCTTTCCTTTAATTTCTGATTGCAGCCTCTGAGTGACTGATCTTGATTCTGGTTGGCTCTTAAATAGGAAGTTCGACTTGCAATTGAATACATTGTGATACCAGGCGGCGAGGCTGTGGAACTTCTACCAAGGCGCACTGAGATAGTCGCCCGACAACTTGAATTGGTCCAGAGTTATCAGTTGGCTGCAGAGAATTCGGGGACTGAATCAAACCCCCGTCTGCAAATTCTTCCTCAGAAATTAAGCAAAAGAACTTCAACAAAACATCCCAAATCTAGTTCAAGTTTCCTTGACAATGGAGGTACATGCGTTCTTTGATTCCCGCTTGTCCCTGAATAATTCAACAGAAATTGCCATTGATTAGATAATATTAAAATATTATACAGTTGTGTAAATTATCTTACATCGTGTATCTTCTTTTCTCTTAATTTTCGTAAATGTTTATTGTTGTGAAGACATTCACTTCACTGTATCAAATTGTTGTACATTGTACAAGAAATGTAAATTTTATTTGATTGTTAATTATTTGAATTGAGCAAAAATGGTTGAACTTTGTTGTGTATGTGTTTTTTATCCATTAACTTTTATTAAAGGCCAAAAGTTATCGTATTTCTGTGGAAAAGCAAGTTCAAGTAAGGGGTGGAGATGATTCAATTCTTTGAATTGGCCAAAAATGGTTGCACATTCTGTGTGTGTGGGGGTGTGTGTGTGTGTGTTTTCTTTACCTGTTAGTTTTTGTTAAAATCTTGAATTAGAAACCATGAATTAACATCGATAAAAAGAGAAAAGCATAGACAATGGAATCGGAATCAATTCCATGAAAATACCTCTAGTATAAAGCTAGAGAGAATAAAAGAAAATTAATATGCTAAAATCATATTGATGATTGGAGGATATTCAATGAAATAGAGGGTATACAAAGTGATATATTTATAGACTATTTGACTAACCAACTAACTAATAACTATTCAACAACTTCAACCGAACTGATCGTTGAGATGGAATTTGGTGTAAGTTAGTTGAATTTGAAGATTCTGAATTCTCTAACAATTTTTATTAAAACTTATCGTATTTCTATGAAAGAGCAAGTTTGTGTAAGGAAAGGGAGTCGTTCAATTCTTTGAATTGAACAAAAATGGTCTAATCAATATTGTGTGTGTGTGTGTGTGTGTTGTGTTTTATCAATTAAATTTATTTAAAGATCAAGATTTATTGTATTCAATGAATGAGATGGTTTAAAGAAGGTCAGGGAGTGGATCAATTCTTTGAATTGGGCAAAAATGGCCGAACTTTGTGTGTTTGTATATTGTGTTTTACCAATTAATTTTTATCAAAGATTCAAAATTTATAGTATTTTTATGAAAGAGCAAGTTCAAATAACTGAAGGGTGTGATTCAATTCTTTAAATTGGGCAAAAACGTTCGAACTTCGTGTGGGTGTTTTTATCACTTAATTTTTATTAAATATCAAAATTTATAGTAATTCAGTGAAAGAGCAAGGTCAAATAGGGGAAGGGTATCAATTCTTTGAATTGGGCACGTATAGTTGAACTTTGTGGGTGTATTTTATCAATTGATTTTTATTAAAGTAGAAAACTTATCGTACGTCCATGAAAGAGTAAGTTCAAATAAGTGAAGGACAAATCAATTATTTATTAACAGAGCGATCACTGAGGTGACAATGAGATTGTGACAGCAATCATACAACATGATTGTGGACGGAACAGGGCGGGACGGGATGGGACGAATGAAGGGCTGGGACCATGTGGTGAAGAAGATAATTAAGTTTTTTTATTTTTGATTTTTAAATTAATCTATACTATTAAATTAATTTAATTTAATTGATATGATCGTTTGTCGAATTAATAAATTGTAAAAAAATAAATGGTTCATTCAATTCCCATAATTCATTATGATATAAAAATTATCAGCGTTAATTTTTTTTTTTTTTTAGTTGTGCCCTATATTCTTTATTCAATGATTTATAATTAAACCAATCAACTCCAGAGGGCCCACTAATCGGAAGATATTCTGTTTTTGACATTTTATGATTGAATAATATTTTTTGCAATCGCTCATTATCACAATATAATGGTTAGTAATTATCTATAATAAATAAATATAAATGCAGAAATATTATTTATTTTATTAATAACTTCAACAGTTTAATACAATATATTGCATTGTATTTAAGCGCTATATTCTTGTATTATAGTTCGGTTTTTTATTTAACTACAATATTGCAACATGGCCACAAAACCGCTTGCGATGCATGTATTTCATATATGCTAATTAAGTACATGTGATATATTATAATTATCTATAAATTAAAGAAATGTAAAAGTGCGAAAATAACAGAAAATTTTCAAGGTCACTGTTTAGTATTTAATTCAAAAATTGACTCAAACTTGTTTGTCCTCATTTCGATAAATTTGATATAAATACAATCCATTTGATTGTAAGAATGAAATTTGGATGGAAAGAAAACGAATTCTAGGGACTCGTATTACCTAGAATTTGTTTTACTGAGAATTGTTAGTTAAATATGTTTAATTGGTATAATTTTTCACTTGAAAAATATTGAAATTTTGGATTTTTTGGTATTCTTTTGGATTTATTTTTCATGAAAATTGTCTATTAAAGAGATAATTTTTTTTTATAACTGTGGATAGAATTTCATTCCATTGCTGAAAATAAAATAAAAAAATCTAAAAAAATTTTAAAAAATAAAATTGTTCCACAAATTTGAGGAAAATGGGTCGCATGTTGGAGGGGCGGGGGCAGGAAGAATTGATTTCCATGGAAAATTTATACAGTCAAACAACTCAAAATGTGGAAAATCCATGAAAAATTTTTCATATCAAATGGACTCTTATATTTCTTTACACTTGGACAAACCTACATTTCCATTTTATCCAATTGTCGCATGATTTTATTCACAAGCGAAAATATTTTATTTCTAAATAATTAAGCAAGTGTGAGATGTTTGGCTAAGTTTAAATGTTTAGCGTAAATATAATTATTAAAAAAAATAATAATTTAAGAGTAACTTATCTAACACCACTAATGTTACAACACGAATTTAAATGGTACTGAATATCATTAAATAAAAGTTACAATTAAATGAATTATGTAATTTCACATTTAATTGAACCTATCACGTAATAACAAACTGATTATATAAATAACATTACTCTAACCCCTTAATTATAAATAATGTTATTTAACACTGTTGTACTAGAGCACTGGTTTAGATAGCTCAACTTAGGCCTCGTTCAATTTCCATTTTTGAAAGAATGAGAATGAAAAATACAGTTGTTACGGGACCAACTTAAAAGATAGAAAGTTAAATATAGTGACTTGATATGATAGATAACGGTCATATTTTTCATTTTTATGGCCAAAAAATGAGAATCAAACGGAACTTAATATATTCAATTAAATAAATTATGTGATATTGCATTTAAAGTATGCCCATTATATAGGGGGCTTTTGTTTTCCCTTTTTGTAAAAATGAGAATGAAAAATATAGTTGTTATGAACTCCACACAAGAGATAGAAATTCAAATTTGATAATTTAATGTGATGAATAACGATCATATTTTTTATTTTAATGGAAAAAGAATGAAAAACAAACCGAGACTTAACATCACATGGTTATCACATCGACACCAATCTAGTAGTAGCTCTCTTTTGACCGACTTTTGAGTTATATGGGGCCTGTTTGGGTCCCTTTTTTCATCCAAAAATTGATTTTTTGACCGTTATTTCACTATTTCAGTCGTTATATTTGATTTTTTCTCCACAGATGAATTTCACTTTTTTCCTAACGATCAAAAATCAATTTTCAAAATCACCCATAAACAGGCTCATGTTCATTTTGGTAATTGGATACTCCACCGCGAGAAAAGAGGTAAACTAAGTAATATTATTTGTATCTTTTTTAGAATTCTTTTATTATTATTCGCGAAAAAAGAATAAAAACAATAGACCGAGAAAAGGAAATTCCCTGTGTCTTAGGGTTTTACTTCCGAAACCAACATTTGCTCTCAAAAATCTTATCTCATTTCAACCTTTTCTTACTGGTAAACCTAATCTTTCTCTATCGCAGACATATACATACGTTTCGCCTCTATATTTAACACTGGATTTAATATCGATGATTCTTTATTTTGAATTGCTAACACTGGATTGATTGGGGTTTCAGAGAGAGATGGCCGGGAAGGAGCAAGACTACCGTATATTTGTTGGAGGGTTATCGTGGGACATCACCGAGCGTCAGCTTGAAGATGCTTTTAGCCGCTTTGGCAAAATTATTGACAGTCAGGTTTGATTTCATACTGTTGTTAAATGCAAATTTTCCTGGAAATTAATATGATTTTATTGCGGTATATGGAGGTTTATTTTGCTTCTATATTCTTTTTTGTTTATTTTGTTAGTTTTATATTCAGTGTCCTATAATTTTTACGAATTTTGTTAAATTTCGTGTGCTTAAATAAGAATCAAAACTCAAGTTTGTCGTGAATTATGTTATATTCACATATATATTACGTGGTTTCCCCAAAAGCTATTTAAAAAACTAAAAACATTGCTACGAATATTCATTTCTTGCTGCGACATTGACAACTAATATTTCTAGCTATTTTAATATATTTTTGCAATCTTTTTTTCTCTCTATCTCTCATCACACTATTGATCTCTCTTTCTCTCTTTCCCTGTATGGTGCTTATGATCTCTGTAATGCCGGCCTTTAGGGCAGGATTTGATGGAACTTTGGGTTCGTTGGGACTTGGGATGTGCTGGATTGCTGAAACCCTATTTCTCTCGTGTTTCATAGTTTGGTTCATGTAGTTGTTTCTGATGTTTGAGTTTCTAGAATCAGTTTTGCATGGGGACTTTGCCAGTTTTACTTGGGATATTTTCAGTTTATTGCTTCATTGAGTCAAGTTCTATTGATCATGTCCTCTTCCCAAAGTTTGACCTTGTCTTGGGGCGAAATTCCAACTATGGTTAAAAGGCTTTCACTTTGGGAAGTTTCAAAGAGAAGAAAATTCCTCCGATTTCAGAAAAGGTCTTTATTGATTTTCCCATAGGCGGGATCTCAATTCCCTATTTTCCCTATAGTGGGTTTAATTTGTATCATTCAGTGGGTATCCAAGATGGCTGGATCGATGCTTTTCTGCCTAGAAATTGAACATTTGGGAAACTTGGTTCTGATTGTTCAGAAGAGGCTGATGTTGAAATTGTCAGGTAACAATAGTGCATTAGGTGCAATAATTCTAAAGTACAACAAGGATTGGATTTCGTAAAGAATTAAAAGTCGGTGCTATTCGTAATTGATGCCCATGGTCTATAATTTACTTGCATGAGGTGTTGTGGATGAGTCACTGATATGGTTGAGCCAAAAGCAATATGTTGTAGCAAACTTCTAGAAGCATCTTGTTCTTGTAAGATTTTCTGGATTTTGGGCATTGTTTATGATCTTTTCTGACTGCGGATGAAAGTTAAGACATTGAGGTTAACTGCATCATGCATAATCGCAG